TGGTGAAGAGATACTGTATAAGAAGTAATAATAGTGATGCACAAATTTTAATAGTAATAAAAGACTGCGACAAACATTTCTATCAGAGTTTTAGTTGACTTTGAGAACCATAAATTTGTAATATGTAACATAAATTGAGAGAAATGGCAAAGAATCTTGTCAACTCACACTGTCCAACACCCGATGAATGAGACGGCACACAGAACAATTGGTAAGATAACCCAAACAGCCATGTTTCTTCGAGAGAGTTGGTTCAAGAATAAAGTAAAGTGCTGATAATCTCAGAAGTGATCCTTCCACGGAGGTCTTGAAAAATTGACTGACATATTAGCCCCTCAAAAACACGTCAACACGTCCTTTAGCATCTTTTGCTTTTCTGCTGACCTTACCGGTTTACTGTCTCTTCTACCAGATGAGCTACATTCTTACTTAAATACGCAAAGGAAGCTTTGAGACATGCCACCACATCCAGCCACTCCTCTATGGTAATCACCTTCTTTAAGACAAGAAAATATAACAGCCACAAGGCAACTTAGGTTGAGTCAACTCAGTCTTGTCCCATTGTTTACTTATGGTCTTACTCATAGTTGTCCTGAGAGCATGTTAGTTTAGAGCAGTGGTTCTCAGACTTTTCAGGCCAAATCAGAACATCTAAGTGTCACCGAGTCACGACAATGATCCTTCTCAGTTTTTAAGCATTAGACAAATATACTTTGAATGAAATGGGACTGTGAACAACATACACATATTACAATAATTTGATTGATATCAGTAAATAAATCATACTGCTGTAAAGGCCTCATCAGTCCTTTGATTGGCCCTTTTGCAGGTCTGGGAAAAGACCCAAGAGTAGCATCTAAAACATGTGCCTACTTTAAAATAACATTTAGAAAGTGTTGCAATGTAATGTAGCCTAATACAAAAGGTTAACATGCTTCATGAATTATATCATTACATTATATAAATGTAGTCTCGCAGTTCTACAACTTAATATTGAATACATGTTAGAATCTCATTTGAGACATCCTGCATATGCATTTGTCACAAAAAGCCATAGTCTAAAATGTATACAGGACTTTTATGAACACAAAAGGAAATGTAAGACAGAATGTGAGCGACTGACAGGCTGACTATTCATTACATTGCATCTGGGGTTTTTTTTCATAGGCCTACATGAGGTGAATCCTGGAACTCATTCTGTCTAATATCTCTCTAACATCTCCTTTTGTGTTATGCAAAAGAGAAATTAGACATAGTTTAATTAATCATGGGTGTGAGTAAAATTTCACTTTAGGGCAATGGTAATTTTGTCGTTTTAATTTTGAGGTAACATTTGGGAAACTATCCCTTTAAGAAGGGCGCTACGCCTCTTTCTATATTGACATCACGTCAGGTGCAATGCAGTTGTTTTGCCGTAATTCACTCTGATTTCTTACGCATTTTGCCACATATTTGTATAAGCACTAATATTTTTTTTAATTACACACAATATTCATTTAACATACACACAGTCGTATTTTTCAGCAGGAGAATTATTGTCCGCTTTGGGGTCCTAAATGTCAAAACAATCGAAATGGCGGCGTCTGTAAGATGGAGTCTGTTGCGCTTCATGCGGTCACTTCATTTGAGGTTGGAAATGACATACTGCATCTTTTAAAGTATTCAAATCCAAGATTTGAAGTGTATTGTTGCATAATATAATGTCAAGTGACGATTGTGCTGGTTTACTATAGTAACCATAGTTTCCACCAAAATACTACAGTAAAACGATTACCTTGGTATTAACTTCAGCTGTCATAAAAGTATATATATGTATGTATTGATGTCTCTTTTTTGCCTTTACAGTGTGTGTAGAGACTGTAATCTTGTATGTTCTGTCTTAGATTGCCTGTAAATGACAGAAATCAGTGCTATTCAATGTGGGCTGCCCACAGAATACAGTCTCAACAGTATGAATGCAAACCATTCTCAGGTCAGGCATTTTATTTTTAACTTATATCCTCTTTATTCCATAACAGATCGCTTTTGATGAATTCAAGTTTGTAATGTTGTTGGAATTTAATACTTCAAAGCCCTGTAATCTTACTGAGGTTTTGTTTTGTTTTTTTTGCAGTGCGAAACCTTTCCGTTTTAACTCAAGACACACCAAACCCCAGAAGTCTAAAGTTTCTTCCCGGTAAACCTGTGCTGGGGATGGGGACTCGAGATTTCCCAGCATCAAACTCAGCAGAGGGTTCCCCTTTAGCCAGGTGAGATTCATTGTAAAAGTATAGAGTCCTTTTGCAAGTAGTGATTTGAATGTAATCTTGCTGTGTATTAAATACATTTGTTATAATCATCCAACAGGGATCTTTTCCAAATTGAAGGCATAAAAAGTGTCTTTTATGGCCCAGATTTCATCACATTGACTAAGGTAGCGTTCGGCAATAAAGTTTATTTTGATTGCTAGTCTGTTTGAATGCTGCATTAACATTTAACATGTAACTTATTAAAGACAGACGATGATGTTGAATGGACAGACATTAAGCGACATGCGATTGAGGTCATTACTAAGTTCTTTGAGAGTGGAGAGGCCATCACAACGGGAGCAACACACGCTGAGAGCAGTGAGCGAAACACTGACTATACATTAACACAGACTGACTAAATACATTTTAATGCATTGTATTTAAAATTGTTATCTTTATTTCTTTACTCTTCAGGTGTTACAGAAGATGATGATGAAATTGTCTTAATGATAAAGGAACTTTTAGACACACGGATCAGGTATGTTTATATTGTTTTGATGCAACATATACTACGGTTTAAACGTTTGTGGTCGGTACGTTTTATTTTTTTGAATACTTATTGAGCAAGGATTCATTAAATTGATCCAAAGTGATATTAAAGACATTTATAGTGTTTTACAAAAGAAATAATTTCAAATAAATGCTGTTTACACATCACGTGACACTGAAGACTAGAGCAATGATGCTGAAAATTCAGCTTTGCCATCACAGGAATAAATTACATTGTAAAATATATTAAAATATAAAATAGTTATCGTTAAAATAGTTCAATTTTCATTCAAAAAACTGTATTGAAATCACGCTTAATCTTTATTATTTAATTTTGCCACTTAAATAATTATTAATTTAGAATTGTAGAATGTCAATACTAGCCACTAGCATGAAAAGCTTTTAGCAAAAATTACTGCATACGTGGCCAGGACATTTAAATTAGTAGCTAGTTATGTATTGAAGGTTTTTAGATGACCAGCAGAGCTCAATGCTGTGTCTGCTTTCCTTAAGACCCACGGTTCAGGAGGATGGTGGCGACGTCATATTCAAAGGCTTTGAGGATGGCACAGTGAAGCTGAAGCTGGTTGGCTCCTGCACAGGCTGTCCCAGCTCCACAGTTACCCTAAAAAATGGCATCCAGAACATGCTGCAGTTTTATATACCCGAGGTGGACAAGGTAGAACAGGTAAGTTATTCATGAGAACATCTTTGCATATTTTAACTACAGTGATCATGAATTTCATTATTCATTATTGTGTGTTTTTTTATTTTTTTTATTTATTAAGGTCGAGGATGAAGTGGATGAGATCAACATGAAGGTGTTTACAGAACTGGACAAGAAACTGCAAGACTCATAGCATGAGATCCAGCTCTGCTGTACACATAATTCAATTTGCTATTGTTGTGTCATACTTCTAGTGGGATTCACACACTCCATAAGGATGCTGTATATTTAAGTTGCAGAATCTAGAAGATAGCGTAATATTTAACCAAGCTCAATGTTGTAAGTTGTTCTGTTTCTAATATAACAGTGCAATATTGTGATTGCAAGTGCACTCACTGAGTTACAAGGATTCTTAACAGGTTTGTTACTTGTCTGACAGAAAAGATTAAATTGAAGACGGTTGCTTTTAATTACAATGCTTATTGAACACTGCGATTTCACCTAGACGTCTGGTGAGTGCAGTAATTAAGTTGGAGTTCTTTTATAGCATGAATACAATGCTGTGATCCTGATACATTCTTAAACCTGAAATGAGCACTTGAAGATCTTCCACAGCTCTAAGAGTCCTTGAGAATGCGGTCAGTTGTGAAAGTCTGTATTCATGATCTTCTACAGCTGCCATCCAGCAGTTCTGGAGGAGGACCTATAATGAAATAAAACAGTTGTGTATAAATTAGTCATTGTCTTGGTGTAGATATTTCTCCTACTGTTTACCACTTTTCTTTGAATGTATATTTTTCTGCATTTTGTTTTTTTTTATAAGCTTCTGTTTTTACTCTTGTTTTCCCTTTCAGCATAAAAACGTCAGCATGTTTATGAACCAGCCTGTTTCACTAATTACTCCAGAATGTGAGATTTGAATATCTAATATACGTATGCCCAGAAACAGTCTTTTAGAAGCACTTATGGCATTAAATCATTGTGGGATATGAGCATTACACATGTAGATGGTGTAATTTTGAAACTAATTCTTAAAATGCTAATTTGCTTTTATGGACAGCAATATTTATTTAGTTAGTGTGTGTTTTACTTTACAAAAACAATTGGAATGTTGTGCAGTTTCAGTATAGAAATAATTTTAGAAACTTAAAACCTAAGAATTAAACTTTCAGAGGACATTTAAAAAGACTTGCTTGTTTACTACATAGTTGGAAAATCCTAATATTATTTTTTATTTCACTTTGCAACACAGCATAATGAGAAATAAATAATAAAAAGAGTGTTAATTTATGAAAGCAATGGGCATAAACAGTCTACAGTTCCAGCTTGTCTAAAAACACAATTTATTCTCTAGGATTTCATATAAGGAGCCTTATGAATTTTGATCGAAGAAAACATGATTTTTAAATAAAATGATTGAGTAATAATAATATGACTAATAATAATATTAATAAAAACAACGATTCAGTTATATATGTAGGATTGTTTGGATTTACTTTTTCTTCTTCTTCGTTGTCTTATGTCATCCGCTCCTGGATCAGCTTTGCGCTGATGAGCTTCAAGCGAACTGCGCATGCGCGACGCGTCGTCCAGACTTCAGTGTTTCTCTACCGGTGAATAAGAGCGGACGGACGGTAAGCAGCGACAACAACAGCTAGCTTGCATGCTTACATATTGACCGAAGTTTTGTTATATTATTAATGCTTCGTCATGCACTTGATTGTGTGTTATTCTGCGCACATTGTATACACTTTATAGGTGTAAAGGAGACTAGTAAGTGCACGGCCAGAACACTAGACAGTGTGCTCATGCGAGGGCCCGTATCAGACTGCTGAAAAACAAAACACTGCAGTCAGCACAGTTGTGCTGTACATACTACCACTGAGACTGCTGTTTAGTTTAAGTAAATACGCTTCATAGTGGTTGAGAGACCTAATACAAGGTTTTAAATGGTTTGGTCTGTGTTGTGTTGCTGCGTTAGCTGCTTAGCTTGCTGCATTGAGAATACGTTGGTGTGCTAAGCTAGTGCAGATAAAAGATTGCATAGTAAAAGTAATTATTTGGGTCTTCAAACAAAGGTCACGAAGAAGTTAATGTTTCGTTTTCGCTGTTGATCTGGACTTAAACGGAGTTTTAAAGCGGGAAGGGGGTCTAAAAAGTCTGCTGGTGTTCTGGAGCTGACAGATGGCATTGGCTGTGTTTCAAAATCTAGTGAGCTCCCTAACTAGGCAGCAGGTCCGATTGTGTTCAGTCAGATGAGGGAATATTTAAATTAAATTAACAATCTTGCAAACACAGCTCTCAGTTATCTGTAAATGAAACAAATCTTCTTCACAGATTTTTAATTTAGTTTTAGTTAGTCTTTATAATAACCTAAATGTGTTAACTATTAAAAAAACATTCGAATAATTGGAAGCTTGATTATTTTAAGCTATTACCAGCCCCACTTTCTGTTTCAGAAAGTTTAAAAACAAGCGTCTTACTGCAGCAGTAGCAGTAATAAAATATCATATAGTTGATGTATGACTGAGGGCCTTTTGATTGTTGTCTTGGGCAATAGGGGCCTTAAAGATCAAAACCATTGACTTTGTGATTATCAGTAGTGTTGTCTTGGCGAGCAGCCACTGAAACAGACACTATATTTCAGTTCCTGTCCATCCAGTTTTATGCTTGTAATGTTTAGAGCTTGCAGTTTTAGTAAGTAAGTGATTATTGTCCTCGCAGGAAATAATCTGCCACCTGATCCAGCGGAAAACGTGAGCAGGTCTCCATGGCCCAGTTCGGGGGTCAGAAGAACCCTCCGTGGGCGGCCCAGTTTGCCGCAACAGCAGTTTCACAGCCCGGCCACTCAGGACAGTCACTGGACCTGAACAGTTTACACTGTAAGTCATCATAAATCAGTAAATACTTGAATTATTGGCACCGTGTTATTTTCGCTTTCAATTACAAATTACTGAATGTTAGTCTAAACATGCATTCATAATCTCTAGCTTTATCTTATTTGTGAAGGTCAAAGCTCAAGATGATTTTGTTTGGGTTTCACTGAGTGGTCAAAGTTTGCTTGTGTTCGTTTGAATGTTGTTGACAGCAGTTGCATTGTCCTTACAATCTCACACATTTCTCCCATAGCTTTAGGAGTACAGCAGCCATCCCTCTTGGGAGCGTCTCCTATGTACACTCAGCAGTCGGCTTTAGCGGCAGCCTCCCTCAACACACAGTCAGCTGCCAACTATCAGCTCTCTCAGCAGACCGCAGCGCTCCAGCAACAGGCCGCAGCAGCCGCTGCCGCTGCATTACAGCAGGTGAAGACCTGGCTGTGATCCATCACCGTAATGCAGCTGGAGTAAATGCACAATTAAGCCTTTGGCTATGTTTGCAATAGCATACTAACATGCTGGATGTGTCATTTATGCAGTATCCTGCAGCATATAGTATGTATACTGTGAATAGTATGCAATTATCCCTAATTTCTAGCGAATAACAATCAGCATTTTCATTTTTAGTGTCATGAAAGCATTTATTTGGGAAAACTAAGTGGTATAGTAAAGGGCTGCATGATTTTGGGAAAATAGTTTTTTTGACGAAAATCTAATTGCGATTTTTCTGATAACAATTGTGTTTGCAATTTAAAATGCGGGAAAAAAAAATTCCACGTTTTCTGTGCTTGTTTGCAGGACTGCACAATTTAGCCAAACTTTTTTTATTTATATATCAATAAGGATAAATAATAATAAGTATTATTATTATTACAAGCAAACTAAATATTATTATTATTAAATAAAATATAAACATAAACTATATGTTTATTTCATAAGCATACTAAATAACAACAAAGTATATTACTATTCTAAAATTTCATCGTAAAATAAAAGAGTATTTAGGAAAATAATACTATTCATAATAATACATTTATTTTATATTACAACCTTAAAATTACAATAATAATATTTATGGCCGTCGTAATGTCTTCATTTTCAAACGTTAAACCATCAAACTTCTATTTTGATGGGAAAACCACAGGGAGACCTTAATGCTTCTCTTAGATTGTTAAGCACTTCTCATTACAAGTATGGGAAGATGGTTGAGAAATGCTGCATTCCCAAATGCACGTTAAACCCAAACTCAGAGCAGATGCAGAGATAGAGTTTGTGCGGAACAGCATTTACTGTGAACCAAGACACTCACAATACCACGCTTCACTATTAAAAGATGCAGCACATATATTGATTTAATTAAATCTCAGCCTTTGATATCTGACAATCGCAATAAGCCATATCGCAATTTCAGTTTTATTTCAATTAATCGTGCAGCTCTAGCACAGAACCTATTATTTTCCAAAAATAGTAGTAGTTATATAGTGTGCGCTCTGCACCTAACCTAATCTCATTCTGTTCACTGCAATGCACAAAGTGCTTTCTCCATCAGTCTGAATTGTACTCATATGCATTTCTAGCATGCTCACTGTAGGAGTGCTGTAACCTGAGCCCTTCCCCCAGCCTGCAGTGAGCAGTCTTGAGTCACTGGTGTGTTTTATTTTAGTCGCAGATCAATTCAGCCCTGCAGCAGTATCAGCAGCAGCAACAACAACAACAGCAGCCGCCTCAAGCCCCCCCACCACAACCTCCACATCAACAAACTCTTTACAATGTCCCACATCAGGTACATGTGTTGGCTCTCATCCACACCTCCTCTTTTACTTTGCCTCATAGCTTTTCTGAAGCCCTAGTTTTATCATAAAGTTTTTCTGTATTGTTTGTTGTGATTTCTTGTGCGTACCACGAGGTCTTGGGTCTCTTTAGATACAAGCGCCTGTCAGGTTCATAAATGTATACATCATGGCAGATGAACTAAAAGGGCAGCAGTCAGCACAGTGGTTACTCTAAAGAGGGCAAGTGCTGCAGTGCCTGTCTGCATTATTTAACTATCAGGACTCACTTCCAGTCTAGATGTGGTTGGTTCTGAATGTGAATTCAAGCATGGATTGATTTTTCAGTTCATACTTTTCGAACCTGGGCTGTCATCATTTAATTGTGGTTGGAAAAAAAGCTGCTGGGGTCAGTAAGATTTTTTTTTATTAAAGGAATGCATAAAAATTGATCAAATGTGACAGTAAAGACATTGATAATGTTACTGAAGATTTCTATTTTAAATAAAAGCTGTCCTTTTGAACTTTTTATTAATCAAAGAATTCTGAAAAAAAAAAATCTGTCATGGTTTCCACAAATATATTAAGCAGAACAACTGATTCTAAACATTGATAATAATAAGAAATATTATTTTATTATTTCAAGTTTCTTGAGCAGAAAATCAGCATAGTAAAATGATTTGTGAAAGATGATGCCTTTAGAGGAATAAATAAAATATATTAATATAATTTAAAAACTATTTATTATTTTTGATAGAAATAAATGCAGCCTTGGTGAGCATAAGAGACTTAAAAAAAATCTATACCGACCCCAAATTTTCGAAAGGTATATTGTAGTAATTGAAGCTTATATTTATATAGTTAACATGTAAAAAATGTCTATATTTTGGATTTTATATAAATAAAATATATTTATATGTTAACAGTTTTTTCCTTATAGTTAATGTGTAATGTTTTCTTTTGTGTTATTCTTTATTTCTCACAGCTTTCACAACCCCAACAAGCCCTGCTATCACAGGTACACTGTGTTTCCAAATTCTGAATATGCATCACATATTTTTCTTGCAAAGCACATGTTACTATGTTTAAATGTGTAAAACGAAGCAAGAGATCCCTTAACATTGCCAGATATGAAGAGTTTATGTTCTAACAGTGGTGCTGTGTGTATTTTGCAGCCCGCTGTTGCCTTGCCCACCAGCCTGAGCCTGTCAAACCCGCAGCAGACGGCACAGATAACCGTATCCTACCCGACCCCGCGCTCCAGCCACCAACAGCAGACTCAACCCCAAAAGCAGCGTGTTTTCACCGGGGTCGTCAGCAAGCTACACGATACTTTCGGCTTTGTTGATGAGGATGTCTTCTTCCAGCTCAGGTGCATTATATTGTAAATGTGCAATTGTACTTAAGAGCTTTCAAGGTCAGGTGTGTAACTTCTGGCTGTGTGTGTGTTTTTTTTTTTTTGTAGTGCAGTTAAGGGGAAAACACCCCAAGTCGGCGATCGTGTTCTGGTGGAAGCTGTCTACAATCCTAACATGCCTTTCAAATGGAATGCCCAGCGCATCCAGACGTTACCTCAGCTGCCCAACCAAACGGTAAGCAAACCCACGTGGTCTGAATGGATCCCTGGCAGATACAGTCTGATATGGTTCTGCCTTCACAGTGTGTCATGATGCTGCTGTTGATTCCTGTGTTCTTAATCTCCATGTAGCACCAGCCGCCTCAGCCCTTACCTCAGGTTTCCCCACAGCTGTCCAGCTTTTACTCTGTAGTTTAGAAAATATTAATCAAATATAACAAGAACAGCTGTCTAATTTTAACTCAGAGTTAAACTGTGTAAGAACAAATTCAGCTTGATAATGTTAGATAACTTTGATAGAAATGTATGTAATAGATTACAATCAACCAAAAATTAGACGGCTGTTAGTATGACAGTATTTACACAACTATCAATACTTAGTCTGGCAGCCCTTAGCCTTAATGACAGCCTGTAGTCTCCCCCAGACTCGGGTCTGAATAATTTTTGGTCCCCTGTATGAAGAAATTTTGGGTAAGAGCTGCTCCATTGCAGTGGCTTAGTACTGTAATCACGCGCTTTGCTGTAATAATGCAGGGAACCACTCGTTATGCATCTCCTAACTGTGACATTTTCAGAAATAGAAGTCGCCGAGTACGAATACAGGAGCTCAGTATCGGGCCCGATACCGATACGTGCATCCCTAGTTTCTTTCCTTCCACCCAAGACAAGTCTCTGTTGAAGCTTTTTCACCCTTCCCTGTATTACAGCTCACAGCTTGCGTGTTGGATTTGTAATTAAACATATTTTTTGCAATCCATAGATTCCATCTTTAGCTAATCAGCATCTGCTGTGTTATTAATGCACTTTGTCTTGGGGGGGGATGCTGTAGTCATATTTGTTTTGTTTTTGTTTTATTTTATTCTTATTTTTGTAATTACCCAAACTAATTATTTTTATTCAAAAATTTCAGTAGTCCAAATACCAGTGAAGTTTTACCTTTTATAATGATTCTTAATGCTAATTACAAATTACAAATCGTCACTGTGTGGGAAGATTTGCATAACGCTGCCCAAATGTTTACTCAAAGAAAGAAGGCGTAACTTTGATTCTCGTTGTAGTATTGTTGTTGCCGCCGCCGCCATGTCATGGAGACACTGTGTGTAAGCCAAACTACTTTGTTTGGTCTTCCAAAAGAGGACACAACTAGAAATCAGTGGTTAAGTTTTATTTACAACACTGTTCCAGAACAGTTCAACCCAAATATTTGAGTGTGTGCAGCGCATTTTACGGAGGAAAGTTTCCTGAACCTGGTAAGGGGCTTAACATTTCTGTCACACACTTGAGGTATTCGGCCAATCACAACGCACTAGATAGCTGGCCAATCAGAGCACACCGCATTTGTCAGAACGATGAGCTTTGTAAAAATCAATGCGTTTCAGAAAGACGGGGCATAGAGGAGCAACAATAATGTACAGTATGTGGAAAATAATGTGTTTTGAGACTTAAACCGCGTAAACACATTGCATTACACCAAATACACAAAATAATGTTCTTATTAGCAATGTCATATGACCCCTTTAATGTAAATAATTAAAAAAAATTAAATAATGTCATGTGGGTGCAATTTTTTTCTTTGAGTTTTTATAAAATAAAGAACGAAGACTGGTATTGTTACTACTTCTGTTTTTGTATTTATTTACTTTTTTTTTTTTTACCTGATAATGAATTACCTGTACCTTTGACATCTGTACACCTGGACACAAATGCCACACTGAGAAGGTGCATGATGAAAAAGCAAATGCAAACTGTGGTCTGTTTTGTTTTATGTAACAAACAATACTTGTGAGACATTGTCTCCTTTGGAAATGGCCATTATACTTTTTATACTTTTTTTTTTTTTTTTAAAGAAAGTGCCTTTTGTGCTTTTTTCCCCCCAAAACAAGACTTTCTTGAAGAACAAGAAAATCTATTGTGTCTTTTAACAGGGGCCAAAACCAGCAAATGGTAATAGCAGTGCTTCTACTTCCTACTTCCTGTCTCCAGCTATTTCTAACCATTTATTTTCCTTTCACTGGGTTTAGTGCTCCTTGATTACTCATTTAGGCACATTTTCCTACCATCCTATAAAACAGGTTACCTAAACATTATGTACTGGATTAATGTTATTTATTTAAAGGCTTGTTTTATAGCTCCTAGTTGAAAGCTGTCGTAATCATTTTGATGTGTTGAATCAATGTGCAGTAATATGTTTGTGTTTTCTTTTGATAGATGTTGACTTGTCTGAAGTAGAGCTAGGTGATGTTAATTTAATATATAATTTTTATTGTGTCAAAGGTTTCACCTTATCGAACCTTATCGTTCAAAGGTTTGTGGTTGGTAAGATTTTTTAAATGGTTTTGAAAAACGTCTCTTATGTTCACCATTTATTTGATTAAAATTACAGTAAAAACAATACTATTGTGAAATATTATTACAATTATAGATAACTCTTTTGTATTTTAATTTTAAAATGTAAGTTATTCCATGGAAAAGCTGAATTTTCAGGATTCTTTGATGAATAGAAAGTTCAAATAAATTATTTTAAAAGAACAGAATTTTTTGGAACATTTATAAATGTAATATTTGATCAATTTAATGCATGCTTGCTGAAAATAAGAATTCATTTCATTCATAAACAGTAGTATAAATTCAATTAATTTTCAAAAAAGTGTCAGTGTGGTTGAAATTTACTACCTTTATATGGGGGGCGGGGGATATTTCTTCAAAATTATTTGAAGTTGTGATTTTGCACTATAAAATTGGCAGTTGTACATACTAGCAAACCCAACTCTTTTGTTCTTTTTCAGAACCAGCCGCCAGGCCCAAACATGATGAAACCAGGTCCCACCATGCTGCAGTCTCTACCCCCGTCCACCACGTTCAGTGTCCCGGCCCAGGGACCTCCTCCGTCTCTTCTGCAGGCCCAGCTCTCAGCTGCCTCTATGGCCCCACTGCTGCAGAATCCCCCACAGCCCCTGCTACCCCAGCCTCCCCCTAAAGGTACATCAACCCCTCCACCATTCAAAGAGTCACACTTTTACAGAATCAAATCTGATCTCCCATCTCTCTCTCTCTCTGCCATGTGTAGACTCTGTGTTCTCAGGGGGTTTGCTGCAGCCGCCAGCGCGGATGATGCCTCAGCCGCAACAGGTGAGGCGTGTGGACCCCTCACCCCGCTTCCCCAGCCGCAGTGACCGACCAGAACTTATCCTGAGGAAAGATGACCGCAGGTTAGCGCTCATGCATACACCTGACTTTCTCAGGAGTAATTGAGTAGAATTGCTTCAGTAGTTTGGTCTGAAGTACAACCAAAAAATGGATATTGTGAATCTTTATTTGCTGTACGTGCTCATGCTTTATTTTGCCTGTGTTTGTGTAGTCGGGAAAGAGATAGAGAGCGAAGGAGATCAAGAGAACGTTCACCCACACGGAAGCGTTCTAGAGACCGGTCTCCTCGCAGAGAACGTTCTCCAAGACGGCCACGCAGAGTCGTCCCAAGATATACTGTGCAGTTCTCCAAATTCTCTCTCGATGGGTAAGTTAGGGTGTATTCACACCAGGAAAGTCCGCTAGTTCACTTGCTTTGGTCCGGACCAAATACAATGTTGATTTTTTTTAGTTTGGTGTGGTTCGCTTTCACACTGCCCTTTTTTTTTCAAGTGAACCAGAAATTGTAAACAAAACCACACGTGTGCATCCATTCATTGGACAGAAATTCTCAAGCAGGGAAAAACAGGAAGTGCAAAAACAGGCTAATCATGGAGATATTTCGTAGTGCAATTTTTATTCTTTTAATGATTTGGGGTTATCAGATACTAACGCAATATGAAGAAACTTATGAGCATCATATGAGACAATGTCATATGATGTTGTAATTACGACTTGCCGAAAATAAAATCTACAGATATAAAATACTTAAAGCATATCACAATGTTAGTTTAAACATTTAACCTAGATAAATGTGCACTATTAGGTGCATATCCAATCGTTTGTGCGGAGAGTGGAAGCTGAAGCGCGCTTCAGGACATCAGTGGAAAAAATTAAATACGCCAT